TTCAATCAAAAAAACCTCATGAAAGATGTCAATCAAAAGCAGGTGCCAAACTTTTTTGACGTGATCGGATCTTATTTACGAGGAATAAAATTATGTTTTTTTTCAGTATGAAACGCCAGTAGAAAAAATCTTGTATACAACACGTAACGAAACGATGTCTTTTAGTCACTCGACGTGTTGTCCAACTCGGCTACGCCTCGTTGGACAATTTTCACGTCGCGTGCCTAAAAGACATTCATTTCGTAACTTGTTGTATAAATAGCTATTTGAACATCCAACTATCATTTTGTACTTGTGATTAGTTTTATAGTTCAGACACAATGTAATAAATCCAAACTAACTAAATTTAAGATTGGAAATAGGTAAAGTTCGAATTCAAATTTTTATGTAGTATATATAGCACCAACAACCGATTACGAGAACCAAGAGATAGAGGAACTTTACGACGAGGTAACACAGTTTCGGCATGATCACAAAACAAAGTAGTACACACTAATTATGGGAGATTTAGAAACAAAAATGAACCAAGATGACATTGATTCATGTTACACTGGCAAATTTGAACATGCGTTAATAAAAGGATAACGGAAACAATAAAAGAAACAGCAAAAAAAAAGTATCAAAGAAGCAAAAAAAAATGCTGGAGAAGAGAAGAGAACTCATAGAATAAGGAAAAAAAGATACACTAGACTATATATAGATACTAACAAAATAGCTAGAAGGATGACGGAACAAGACATTAAAAACTATCAAGAAGCACGAATCGAAAAACTCATAGAAGAACAAAAAGGGTCAAACGTTTTCAAAAGGGAAAAAACACACAAAAGAGAAATTGCAAGCTGATGGACAATCAAGGAAACATAGATCCAAAATTCTAAAGGTTGGGTCAGAAGAGATCCTTGATATAGAAGAGGAAGAAATTGCAAAAGCGCCAAGCCAATTAAACAACGGAAAAGCTCCAGAAATTAATGCATAAAGATCCAAACGAAGTGAAGATCAAAAAAGGCGTAAGACGATATAATATCACCTAAGCAGTTCACCCTAGATGTGTTGAAGGAACTACATTTAGAAAATAAAGGCTTCAATATATCTGGAGAAAACCTCAATAGGTAATTCAAGATTCGCTGATGCACAGCATATAAATATGTACTTGACAAAATTTGAGAGAGGCCTATATCCAGAGCATAGAGAACGTCTAGGAAGGAAGAAGGATTTAGTATCTATTCCCGGCACTTGAATGGATTAGTTTTAGGTCTCAAACAGATCACTCAATCAAATCACTTCAAACTAACCCAGAAATTAAATTTCGGTTTTTTTAATTCCAAAGTCTCTGTACTTATCTCAGACTTTTGAATTGATTAGTTTCATACAAGGGGTGAACCGCAAGGGAAATCAGGTGTACAAATTAGGGGAAATCAGGAGAATTCAAGAGGAAATCAAATGCAATGAGTGGAAATCAGGGGAAATCTTAAGGAAAACAGGAGAAATCTCAAGGAAATCAGGGTAAATCTTAAGGAAATCATAGGAAATCTTAAGGCAATCAGTCAATCTCTAGATCTAACGCATGCGCAGTATTCGAAAATATTTAAAAATTAAGGTTATGTTACGTTATGTTATGTCCATTATCAAAATAAAATTATAGGTGCTGAGAAATGTTATCTGTCTATTGAGCTTAATGGTCATTTCGTAATTAAAATAATAAGATTTTTCAACAGCAAGAATATAACTTCAGAATCATTTACACCATGGCTCTTCAGTAGCCAAGCTTGTGAAAAGTTGTTTAGGGTTACGAGGTCCATGTCTTCGACATAAAGACATTCTACATCAAATTGACCGAATTCAAACTGTACACAATATAATAACAGATCTAAATCATGAGTTTGTGTTTCCAAGGGAAAAAAAGAGGACAGATTCTCAGGCTGTGAAAGATGATTTTGAACATTCTGATGATGAAAAATTATTACTGAAGCCATGTCAGGCGCAATTATTGATATGTAGGAATTGGGGATTTCAGTTATTGAAAATGCTGTCAACATCTTGTCAATTCCTTTAAGAAATATAGAGGAAAATGTGATAGATCCCCATGAAGATGACTCAGAAAATGAAGACAATGACAATATAATAGATGAAAGACTAACTAGACAATGGAATGCTAGAGAATACTGAAACCTCGACGGAAAGAGTCGTGAATGAATTAGGGATAGAATATGAAAAAGAAAAAAATGCTGCCATTGAAGAAATACGTGCCGATATGGGCAATATTTCAAATTCCGGGTCCTTTGGAGAACAACTTGAATTGAACGATTTTTCCGAGGATACGTGAAATCGCAGAAAGATTTTTCATCGAAAGACAGTTCATGTTTACCGGTTACCTTAAACGATAGACAGTATGTTATTAAAAAATCTTCACTGTTTTGATTGCTTGACGAAAAGATTGGCAGAATAAGCACTGACTAGTTGAGAAGATTTATCAGTAACACAAAGGCGACAACTCCATCTTCAAATATCAGATCCACAATAAAGAGGCCTTCTAAGGATCCTAACAAACATTGTAACAAACGCAAGACCCGGGAACAGCAAACTTGTCAAGACCAAAAAGTTTAAATCTCGGGTAAAATTTGAATCCAAACCCAGGCAATATCTAAAAATCTGAAACACCGTTATCAAGCGACTTGAGTAATAATAATTCTGGTCAACTTTGTGATGATGAGAGCATGGACGACATTGATGGTGATAATTTGGATATTGACCGAGACATTAACTTCAATAATGAAAGCAGTGAAGTGTGCATCATATGTCAAGACGTTGGGCAATCAGAGACTTGATACCGATGTACTCATTGCAGGAAGTGGGCACATAGTCAGTGCACGGATGCTGACTCACCTACAAAAAATCAGTTTTTGTTTCTGCATTATATTTAAATAGAAATTAAAGTGGCCGAAGGAGTGGCCATTAGGAGAATTCTATAGAAATCAGAGGAAATCATGGGAAATTATCCATGATTTTCCTTAAAACTGCAATCTGGTGTACAAAAATTGACCTGCGGTCTACCCTCGGTTTCATATCTCAGAAACAATAATTGAATTAATATCATGCAATCACAGCAACTAGTGAAAATTTGAATTTTTGAAATTCGTTTGATTTTTTGTTAATGGGGATTTTCAAATGCGTGAAATCAGTTCGAAATTGTGTTTTACAATCAAATTAAACCATAACAAATCACGGCCTGATTACTGACGACAATGCCTTTTAAACCATCAATATTAATTAGAAACACAACACGCCCATTCAAATTGTAAGTATATGCTCAATGCGAAATTTGAAGATTTGATGTTGTTTTGTTTCATTTAAATCGTCAATGTATGGGATTTCAGGATTTAAGTTACAAAGTGGAATCTCTCCATCCATGACAAACTCGACGAACATATTTTTAATAATGATAATGCATTTTTGAATGGGACATCAACTCTATGATACCTAGGACTACGAGAAGAGTTAAAACTTTTAAGGGCCTATAAGATATTGAAAAATAAGACTATAGTTATAATATAGCAGGTGCTAAATACTCGTTTATGGGATTTGTAGATTATGTGTAGAACATAAAGCCATATTAGGTATATGTATATTTTAAAGCTAGATTCTTTGAAAATCCTAATTGGTGGAATGCAGGTGAAATTTATTGGGTTAAGCCACCTATAATTAGCCGGACTCTAAAAATATCCTACCTACCTCGATCCATCAGGGCAATCAAGATTAATATTTGCTTTACTAACAATGGAGAAATGTATAATATGATCCTACACCTTCTATTTCGAATATAAATATTTGCTTTATTCGAAAAAATGTTCAAGAGCAGCAGTTATAATTATTATTATGTGGAAGCAAGAAGGAATGTTTTCGTTCCAACCTAAGCTAAAAGCAATATTTCAAAAACATCAGTGTAACTTGAAACAAAGCGGCCATTTTCTCGAGAATGATTAAACTTCCATTATCGTTGGTATACGATGCATCTTTATTTTGTAATTAAAATTCGAAGTGTTTTTTATGCAAAACTCGACCTAATTATGTCTATGGGTTCGTCCAAAGGAAATCAAGCACATCTTCAGAAAATTTACAATTATTTAATAATTCACAAAGTGCTTCCTCTTAGGACAATATGATTAATCAACAATCTCATCACAGAATTTTCCAGGTGGAAAAGTGTTGTAAGACAATAAAGAGAAAATCGAGTTAATTGGATACCTACTCTGCTAGCTATACAGACCGGATTCGAACTCATTAGCTTTCTTGATAGGTGTGAATTACATTTGAGACAAAGACAAAATTAAAATTAATATAATTCCTAATGCAAAATGTTGGTACCTACGGGCAGACAACTCAATATCCGAGTAATGTTCAGAAAAGCATTAATTTGGGAAGAAAAGTTGTTTTTGGGCTCAAATTTCAAATTACTATTATATGGTATTAATGTTAAAAACATAAAACCATTTGCAGCCTCAATAAAAGTAATGTTACATGATGAAATGGAGCTATTTTTTACACGACTATTAGAGTAGGTATGTATCTGATGAGATCATTTTCTATATAGTTTGTTCATTTGAACTTTTTACTTCTTTCTTAAAATGAATGAAAAGGCGTTTTTTTTTTTTAAGGATTTGAAATTTGAATAAGAAACTGTATAAAGTCAAGTTGAGTATTGAGATTCTACCTTCTGAATGCATACCCAATACCCATTAGAAAATCTTGGTTAATTAGAGTATTAAAATATCAAAATTAAACTTCAATAAACTTATCAAATATTCTAAAAAAAAAGATGAGATAATATAGGTAGGTAATAGCATAAATAAGAAATCGCAAAAGCGTTTGCAAAAATATTTTGTATAATATTTTTGACATAACAAGTTTTGTAATTATAACAAACAAATTTCTGACGCAATTTTGCATTTTAATTAAAAAAAAAGATAACTCAGTTATTCAATTGAATTAGGTAAATGACTTACCGGCTATTGAAATTAGGCCTGGCCACTACTTGTTGATGTAGTCCCATCAAAATAATAAAGACAATGGTGAAGTTAATAAGTGCGCTCTTCATTTTTTGTTGGCTTTTTTCCAGAAAAAAAAAATAAATCACAATAAAAACACCAACGGAAAAACTCACTAAAAAAAATTTAATAGTTCCACGCAATTAATTTTTCAAACTAATTAAATAGGTAATTCAAAAAAATTATCGTTTTCGATATCGTATATAATAATCTCGTATGTTTCTCGATCGTTTCGCGTTTTCGAATGACAAGTTTTCGCGCCACTCTCGATATTTATGCACTCAAAAAGGATCGAGATCAAGATACAAGTGGGTTGGGATTCCGAAAGGCGCCGGATTGCGTGTTTTGTGGCGTCGGTGCCTCCACGCACAAGCCAACAGGTGATAACATTTTTTTTTTCCTCAATTTCTCATTCACGTTTTTTATCTATAAAAGTTTTCAGAAACTTTTCAGTGTTTGTTTAGCCATCAAACGTTACATAATTTCTAAATGAAAGCGGAAATGAGTCACTTCATAGACCTTGTTTTGTAACAGTTTTTGGTATTTTATTGTAAGGAAAAACCCCATTGCATTTGTTACCGTTACAGATGGCAACACAAATGAGAAGTTTGCTGGACAATGAAGAGATTTCATGTTCTTCGCAACATTTCCCAATTATCTTGACGAATTAAGTCCGGGTTCTGAAGCAGCCTTCTCTAAGAATTAGATTTTCAATTTATCGGTTCTTGTCTGAAAAGTAGGTTCTTGTCTAAAGAGTAGGCTCTTATCCCAAATCCACGTGCCCTTCGCGATCAGCGTATCGCTGAGTTCCCAATGGTTCTCTGATTCAGATCGTGGTCACATTTATTAGTCCACAGAATACATTAGTCGTTATCGGTTCCCAGTGTCTACTGCGTCCATACATGATTTAGCAAGTTTTTAATGGAAAACGTAATAGGTAAAATTAAAGAAGTAGTAAGTGAAGCGTGCTTGAATACTTTTGAAAAGAAGTTCAGAAGAAAGAGTTATTGCCTTGGCAGTAGCGCCAAGCTCGCCAAGTGTGAATGAACAAACCATTTTGTTTAATTTTTTTATTTAAGATGTCTAAGTAAGTACCTACACTTCTGTTTTTCAAAACAAAATTAGGTTTTCAAAAAATCCATTTATCAATATATTATAATAAGTTTGTTTTGTATATCTTACCCAGAATCTCTGTTTTTGTTGATCAAAAAAATATTGTTCGTCTTGCTTTGATATTGCTATTGATCTAGGATATTTTCTCTTTCTATATGACTCATTTACTTAGGCCAATATTTTTGTATATTTTATGTAATACCTAATATATAAGTTCATTTCCTAGATCATCTTTATTTTTCCTGAAAAATTTTGACTGCGTCATTATTGAATACATGAAACAAGAACTCTCCATTTAATAAGGGATCATCATTTTGCGTAGTGATGTTTTGAGCAATCAAGGAGTTACCTTTTAGGTACTTATAACAAATTTTCAACAGCCTGTGGATTTTTTTTTAAATTAAAAAAAATATACCTAAAGTTAACCAAATATCAAAAGCACACGACAACCTAAGTTATATTTTGTAAATGTTGGGTATTCTCATTTTACTAACTACATATTTAAAAATCAAATTTTGGGCGTGATTTAGGGTGCGAGGTGCGACGTGAAAGAATGAATGGATATAGTTCAAAGGCCACATATTCATTATTGAGTCGAGAAATTATTTCTTGACAGAAGATGGTTTGTATTTAAAGTGAGTAAAATTACTTTACGAGAAGAATATTCATTTACCGCCAGGCGCCTTATTCTTGAATCTTAGGGAGTAGAAAACGTGAGAGAAAGTGGTCTTCCTAAACTTGAAAATAGGTACTGTGTTCTTGAAAAAAATTCTCTCATGACTTGATAGACAGATTTCTCCCTGAGGGAATTTCAATTTCTACTGGTCCCAAGTGAGAGAAACTAAAAATGGGAATGGAAATAAAGATAAACAAACAACAAAACGTTAAAAAATTGCGGGAGAAGTTTTTTTCAAAGTTAAAGTATGTGTTTTTTTTGGATAATGGATTTAAATAATATAATATATAATGCAGATGAACTAATAGAAAAACAAGAAAAGAACTTAAATAAACTATCTTCTTGATTCTCTCATGATATCTACAATGCGTAGTAAAGAAACAGAAATATTCTCGATTATATGGGTTTGATTTCTTAGCTCATCTCGTTTCTCTTTGATTTTATCCAGAACGGTATGTATCTGTGTTCCATTTATTGAGCATGTTCTAAAATGTTCACCATTTTACTGTGGTTTTTGATAGATTCATTCAATCTCATGGTTTTTTTCACTCTGGGTTTGCCTCTGGGTATAGCATTATTCTTTATTTCAGGAGTATTGTATTTTCAGTTTCATTTTTCTCAAGCTCAGTGGGGGGATCTGAGTTTTCATGCTGTTTATTACTTAGCAGTTGATACCAACCAAGCAAAAGGTTTAAGTTCTTGTAAATGTTTTTAATGATAATATGAAGGTATTTTACAACCCTTCCTTAAACAATGTTAACGTTTATAGTCCCCAGTACATCGACCCTAAAATTTTGTAACTCATGTACACGCCAAACTTCCTGAGCGGTTTCATAGCACCAAGTCGGACAATATTTTTCATGTCTCCACCCTGGGCGATGGGACATTGCTGCGCTAGCTCTTCGTGAAGTTGTCGTTCTGACGTCCCTAAAGAAGTTGATACATGTACATGTAGTTTCAATGCCAATCGACTGTTTTTTACATTACATTAACGATATCACATTTGTCGAACAAAAACCATGTGGCTTTGGGGAAGGTTCGACGCCCTCAACATGTCGCTGTGGCGACCCTGAAGAAGTTGATACATGTACGTCCGACAAAAATAATTATGAATAACAATGTAATTTTAAAACATGTGTAGTAAATATCGGACAAATAAAATGAGTATTAAAGTCAGTCGGATAACAAAAGTCCTTTTGATCAATTTCTGCAATCAATTCAGGATCTTCACTCCTGAGATTGCACAAAAAACACGACTGAATATCCATTCTTTCTCACACGCGTGTTTTTGAATGACCGTTCACTATAAATAATTTCCGTAAATACTCGGAGAACTATAAAAAAAAAAACAGATCAAGGGAATATGACACAGGGCCCCATAGGTATTTGACAAAGTAGGTAAATAATGAACTGACTAATATGCACGTTGCGTTGAGGCAAACTAATTTTAATTTTTTCATTGATTGTCACAAATTTCTTGTCCGACAAATGTGATATCGTTAATGTAATGTAAAAAACTGTCGATTTGTATTAAAAACACACGTACATGTATCAACTTCCTTAGAGACGCCACAGCGACATGTTGAGAGCGTCGGACCCCCCCGAAGCCACGTGATTTTTGTCCGACTTATATGATATCGTTAATGTAATACAAAAAACAGTCGATTGGCATTAAAACTACACGTATAAGTAACAACTTTCTCAGGGTCGCCACAGCGACATGTTGAGGGCGTCGGACCTTCCCCAGAGCCACATGGTTTTTGTCCGACAAATGTGATATCGTTAATGTGATGTAAAAAACAGTCGATTGGCATTGAAACTACACGTACATGTATCAACTTCCTAAGGGACGTCAGAACGACAACTTCACGCAGAGCTAGCGCAGCAATGTCCCATCGCCCAGGGTGAAGACATGAAAAATATTGCCCGACTTGGTGTTATGAAGCCTCTCAGAAAGTTTGGCCTGTACATGAGTTACAAAATTTTAAAGTCGATGTACTGGGGACTATTTATATTCTGTACAGATCCTACCATTGCTAGTAGGTTGTTGGCAGGGAACATCTTATCAAATATTACCTCTTTATCAAGAATAATGCCTGGCTCAGGTACCTCCATATTGCCTGTAATACACACTGGACTTGCAAGCTCCATAACTTTAGTGTCAAAATTATTTATAGTAGGAGGCCGCCCTCCTGTACCTTTTTGGTATTTTTTTTTTTCTAGCCAGTTTTGCTCTACTATTTTTTTTATGTCGGTCCAGATCTAACCCAAAAAAGCTAATGAGGAAAAGGTTCCAAAGCAGTTTTTAACTATATTTTATGAAAAGTACCCTTGCGCTATGCATTCCACTCTTTTTTGGCTTCATTGGGATGAGCATTTAGAATGTTGGTATTTATTAGTATACCTATAGTATAAATGCATAGGTAAACACTATAAATTCACCTTTGAAGTAATCTAAATAAAGAGAGGGTTTTCTCACCCACTACTCACTGCACACTTGTGGTCTATTCGTGTATATGATGGCCTGGCTAAGAATTGTCAAATAAGCCATAGATAAATTTGAAAAGCTTAATAATTTACAATTAACAAAAAGTGCATTTGTCAACAAGCTGTCACACCTGTGTGTCACACTGACAATTTTCGTCATTTGTGATTGGTGAGAATTTTGTACTAAAATCTGGCAGTTCGCTGTTTCTCTCACTCCTTCCTACTCCCTCTATTTTCAAGAATACAGCTTTTTAAAATCGAAAGAAATTATGAAGGAGTAGAAAAATTAGGGAGCTCCCCGGGAAATATAGTTTTCCCTCAATTCAAGAATAAGAACCCACAGAACATTTATTTATTTCTCTCAAGAACATGTCTTTGAGGTTAGTAGCATCATGTACATTTACAAAGATGATGCGGCTTTGAGTCAAGATTGAGATTCTTGGACCAAAGGATCGATTACCTTCAGATCAACTAATTAATATTTTCTCCTATCTGAAAACAAGACAGTTAATCCTTTGTTTCAGTCTTAGAATTAGGTCATATTTTCTTATAATTGGAAAAAATTAATAGAATAAAGCCAAGGATGTGGTTGAGTTTTGTCAAGGTAATATTCATTTGGCCATATCCAAAGACATGGCGGCCTTGGCTCAAAAGCGTTTCACTTTAAGTTAAGATATCCTTTTCATCTAACATTGAGCAATACCTACAGAAATACGTATTTTTCGTCAAGTAACATTTCCTTTCTCCATAACCATAGACATCAAAGCCAAACTGTCTGAACAATAAGATGACCATTTTTGAACCAAATCCAGATCAACCTAGCACGAAAATCATCATCTTAACTTCCAAGATGTCATGGGCTTAACGGGACTCAAGGCATGTCTTGCCAACATAGTTACTAAATTTTTGACATGGGGAATTATCTTAACAGATTTTATGTAAAGTGCGTGAACGTGTTCCA